ATCTCTTTTGCATCACAGAAACTCAGAATAGCCTACAATGCATTATAGATTACGTATACTGAGCTATTTGAAGGTGCTTTGCATTACATAAAATTTTAGTGGTAATTACACTTTTTTTAACGAAATAAATGTAGCTGGCCATTTTCATATTTGAAGTTATCTAAACTGATTAATTTGCTCAATAGTCTACAATGTGTCATGAATAAGCATTAGTAGTTTTTAATAGACTTTACAATGTCATAAACAGCAAACGGATGCCACATTCAAATGTAGCCATAAATGAGTTAAACTTGCACACCAACACCGCAATAAAGAATGAGCAAAAAGAGTGAACAACAGACCTGGTTTTGAAGCTTCCTGTTTTCTCACATAATATTTCAATTCATTGTTGGATTTTATCCACAGGGCAAAAACTGTTGTCTTATATTTAAGAGTTTGAATGATGTTCCTGTTCCTTTTAATATCTAGACTTCAGTTACATTCACTTTTTTTCATATTACAGTAACAACAGGCCATCAGCTGAGAGAAATACACATTGAACACTGATGTATACTGTACAGCAATTGTTAGGAGGTTATCTGACTTAAGAGGATTCTGCTTTATTTTACAGTTGCTTAGCAACAGCCTGATCTCTGAAAAGTGCAGTGCAGAAGAAATGAATCTAAAAACTCTTAAAAAATGCTCATGCTCATTCTGTATTTTGTCCTTGACTATAGCAGCTTGAATTTTATATTTCATAGACAATGTTTGCTGTGATTCATTTTGATAGTAATGAATGCAAGACCTTTATGTTCCCTCTTCTCCATGCATTTCTTATGCATTTCTCTTCCCTCGTCATCTTATGCATTTCTCTTAGTAATTGTAAACATTTATCAAAAAAAAAATCCATTTATTGCAGTCAGAATGATTTTGATATGGCTAATAACTCGAAAATTCTGTCATTACAGAATGACCTTCCAAACGTAAGCCTTTTGTTCATCTTCAGAACACAAATGAAGATTTTATTTTTTATTTATTTATTTATTTATGAAATCTGAGAGTTTTCTGTCCCTCCATTGACTGACAACTACCACTTGGATGCTTCAAAAAGTTTGTAAAACTAGACAAAAATAGATTGTAAAACTAATCCATATGAATTGAATGTGTAATGAACTACTCCGAGACTGGGAGATGTAGATCCAAATGCAGCTTTATTAAGATTAATCGTACAGGCAGGGTCGAGAATCAGCAGACAGGGCAATTGAGAACAAACAGTTGGAATCCAAAAAACAGGCAGAGGTCAGAGCAGGCAGCAATAATCAAAATCCAAGAACAATCCAAAGTCAAAAACCGAAGACAAACACAAGAAACCGCTCAGAAATGCAGGCACACAGTACAACAAGACTTCGCAAACAGTGTATGTGAACACAAGGTATACATAGACAGACTAACAGGATGAGACACAGGTGAATGCAATCAGTGAATGAGGTACAGGTGAATGTGATCAGTGATGATGAGTCCAGGCAGTGAGTTCTGGGAACTGTAGTTTGTGAGTGATAATAGTCTTATCTGGAGTGCCCTCTGCTGGCTCAAAAGGGCACTCTAGCTGGTGACCGTTACAGAATGGTTTAGTCGAAATTTTCTGAAGAGACTGGAGCAAAGTGATTGTGAAAAACTGTAATGACAGAATTTTCATTTTTGAGTGAACTAACCTTTTGAGATTGATTTAAAACATTGTATAGGTTGAAGAAACGTCCAATAAATAAATAAAATGTTCAAAAGTAAGTCTGATTGTGGTGTTTCCATGGCAGTAAACACCAAGGACAGCATGCAGCACTCATGCTCACACCCCTCAGCTCTGCCATTGTCTCAACACTTCATTTCTAGAGCTTCTGCCATTACAGAAAATGTATGTGTGTGTTCTTCTTTGTATACCAAGATGAGATCAAGAGAATATTTTACACCTTTGACACCGATATGAAAATCAATTAGTGTGAACTGCATGTGATCCACATACCAAAGCTGTTGTCATATTGTAGGCTACATAAAAAGTATTGTGCCAAACATTTACATGGACCATAATGTAAGCATAATAAAAGTGTGAAATCTAAATTTAAAGTCGGCATGAAACGGAAGTTCCTATGGGATGAATATCTGGATGAATGATCTATGATCATTGGCGTTTGCTATTGGTCGATCTCATGTGAGTGACAGGTTGATCCCGCCCTCGTGCCAGTAAACTTGTGATCAAAGAAGAGAGGATGTGTTTCTGAGAGGGGAAGTTATTTTGATATAAGATTTTGAGGGCACAAAAAAAAAAATAACAATATGCAATCATTTATAATAAATACTCAAATATTACGTAAACAAATAAGAGCGGTCACTTTTCTTTTGATTTCATGGTGACTGCACATGTAGATTCATATAGTTTTAGCAAGTCTTCCACCACCTCAAATTCTGTCTCCTTTATTTGTATATCACCAAGTTTCGTAAATTTAAACATTTCTATTTGGCAAACACTTATCTGATGAAATCTGCATTACATTCAAGATATGTTCTGCCAATGTGCTTGTGGAACCTGACTTTATTTACTTTGACATAGAAATACTAGTTTCTAATCCTAATGTATAATAATAGCTCATTATTCATTCGTGGTAATTCGTGTGGCAATTGGGTAATTTGCAGAACTATTTCTTTTTATGCTAGCATGGGGAGAGCTGATGAGAAGAACTACTGGTTTAGAGGTCTCTAATGACCTGTTGCTGAATGTGTAAATACTCTTTTGCTTTTTTGGCTGTCAGTGACAATGAAACTATAGTCTTGCTTGCTTGTTTGCTTTTCTCTATAAAAGACAGAGGTTTTGCTGTGCCATTCTATGATTGATGGTCCAATAAAATCTTCTGAGAAATGACATAAATCAAGTTTCCTTGATAGTTTCTTATTTTGTTCTGTAATCTCTGGCCTTACTTTGGAGTGCAATATTCATGCTTATTTAACCACAGATGTCACCCCATGAAAATATAGTAAGCTTATTAAGGAATCATCCCCAATAATCTTCAGAAAATAAATAAATGGATGAGTCATTATTGGTGGTGTAATCTCTTGCTTTACTTAAGTGGCATATTTTCATACTTTTTATTATTAGTTTTCAAACTCATGCTGAGCTTTAAGTGAGTTTAATATAGTGGAACCTAGGCAAGGCAAGGCAAGTTTATTTATATAGCACATTTCATACACGATGGCAATTCAAAGTGCTTTACATAGAAGAAATTAAAATAATTTTTAATTATTTTAATTTCTAAAAATAAATAAACCTAAAATAAAGATGCTATGAAATTAACTAAAAATGTAAACGCTTTAAGATAACGACGTTGTTATTGTTATTAATAAATTAATCACGGATGACTGTGAACTGTGCATTTCTACAGTGGCATCAGAGTGTACGTTGAGCTGCCAATAGACTTTTATAGGCAAAATAGAAGGCCTACACAGAGAGTGTATGTGTGTGTTCTGCAAATATGGTTCTCTCTGGTAAGCACAGAGGATTGTCTTGCTTTGCAAGCAACAAAGCTGATTATTTTTCCCTGCATTAATCCAAATTAGATATGTGCCTTAGGAAGCACAAAGATGATGATGATTTTATTTTATTTTTTTAAACCAAGAACGTGGGCAGCTCAGTCCGCATGCCTGTAATATACTTCTGAGACATTATAATGCTTCCAGAATTAGGCTAGTGAAACAGAATAAATCTAATGCACTGATTTGTTCTGTCAACTGGGAACGTGTTTTCATAGAACTGGACAGTGAAATCAATGGAAATCTACCAGTGAGTGCCCTCTCTGGGAAGAGATGTCATGTTGCATGCATTATTGATTTATGCTTTATGAGGTTTTTATTACAAGAAATACAATTTATGAGAATGCTTTATTCATATATTTGCTCTCTTGGTAAGTTTTTGCCTATTTTGGTCAATAATTTGTTATTGTTTTAACAAGTGACAAGTTCTCATAAATTCATTTTCTTAGATTGTTTTATTTACTCAAGCAAAGTAAAACCACATGTAAATTATATTATATATTATATAGACAGATTTACAATACATAATAACCAAAATAAAAAGACACACACAATCCTATTTTTAAATAAAATGTAAGGTTATGGTGCCTTTTGTTTGGACTTTCTTGAATATTAATTTCCATGACTGACATATCAAGTCACTGACATATGACATATACTGTATTTGTCACCATATTTTGAAAATAGCCCACATAATCTTCCTCAAATTATAAGCACTTTGAACATTGTTCAATTAAAGTCACTAAGTCAACCAATATTTTACTATTTCAATAAATAAATTACTTTTCTTTTAAATTATTGAACAAAGATAACAGGGGATGCATGTATCACAAAAAAAAAAAAAAACACTTAAGAAAAGAGGATAAGAAACTCGAGGTAAATCAAGGCAGTACAGTTATTTTTTAAACAAGAAAACAGATAGTCTACAAAAAAAGTAATTCACAAACATCTAAAGCAATAGAAATTGAAAAGGAAATTATTACAAATAAATATAAATAGCCTAATAGTATTATGAAACTTAAAAATAGTCACCTTATGGAAATCAGTTGGTAACTCTTATAATGGAACCATTTTTTTAAATCAACAGAGCTGTTTTTGCATCTTTCTTGTTAAATGATGAACAAAGAGAGTCACAGAATAACTTTTCCAAAATTGGGCTTAGACTCATGACTTTCATGGAGATGAAACTGCCTCAGAGATTTCACAATTTTACCCTATCATCCAACTCCTTTGACCCTGAGTCCCATGTCAAAACAGCCTACATTCATTATAAAAATTAAAAAGTTTAAATAAATGAGCCTACTTCAAAGCACATGTTTTTCAATGATTTTGTAAACGCTTGAAAATTAGTGCGGCCACACACAGTGAACAGTAGAGGTCGCTGCTGCTCTCTTATCAGAGTTGGTGACGACCGCACAGGTAGATTGAGTCTCGTTAGCGTAATCCACACTAACCCAACAGAGATCAGCCTTCTGCCATCAGCCTTTGTTTCTCATCTCCGAGTACGTTCTTCGTTAAGATAAAAACTAAGAGAGAAATCTATTTGTTTCGGTTCGTACAACAGTTGGAAAACTTATAATGTGGCTCAGGGAAGAGATGTAAAGTATGGTGTTCATCCACTTGTTGATTGTATATGACTCGCGGTTAGCTGACTAGCTCCACCGGTACACACACACTGACCACAGGACTGGAAGAACACAACCTTCACTATGAACAGCGAACCCGTATGACTAATCAGAATTTCTGGTTAATGACTTGAATCCGGACGGTTGCGTTATCGACAGTCAGTCAGTGAGCTTTTTTTATTATTATTTTAGGATATAGCCTACTTGATTTTGATGGCGAGACAAACTTAAACTGAATCATGATTTGGCTAATGCTAACATAAAGAGAGGTGATAAACCATAAACAAACAAGACTTAACATGTCTGTTATTGCGCTTCGTTACAGGAATTAAAACAAAACTAATTTGTTTTAGTTTGGAAGTTTGTTTTGTAAATTTGCACTCCACTTAATTAAATAATACGCTCTTAAATGTCCTGACTAGAGGAGGAAATAACGCAACAGTATTCAGAGACGTCCATGTGATGTTCTTATGGATTAACGTTACAGCTGTTGTTGATGTGGAGGACTGTGGGTTTTTGACTTTGAGAATTGATACATCCACATTTGCATTTAAGTAGCTTATAAAAGACTGCCATATTCTGTTGGTTGAAGGACAGGTTGCGTATGAAATGGACACGATCAACCAATACGCTAGCTTTCCTGAAGGAGACCATAGGATCTTTTACAGTTCAGAAAGATCTGGGAGTTTTGATGAACATCACGGTAATGGTGAGGGATGGAAAGTGGTGGATGTGACACTCTCTGGGGGAGCACCATGGGGTTTTACCCTTAGAGGTGGATTGGAGCACAGTGAGCCTCTTCTTATAACCAAGGTAAGTTAAGTCATCTGTCGTCTACATGTTGAGTGAGACTTCTGTGTAACTTTCAAGTACGTTAGTGTCCAAAAAGCAGTAGTTACCCGAGAAAATTGTTGCAAAACTATATAATTATAACGTTAAATTATTTATAAATCAAATATGCTGATATATAAACTTGTTCTATTTGATTTAATTAAAGTATTTAGCTTCATTATTTTTTATTCAAGTTTATTAAGGGTTAAACTGTATTTCTTTTATTCATATTCCTCTTCTATTTATTTTATTTTTTTTACATATTTTTTTTTATAGTACAGAAGAATAGAAGTGGGATCGTCTGTCATGGTTAGCGTCGTGAGCGGGAGTCGTTTCACAGTGTTCATCGAGCGTTGGTGGTATAGTGGTTAGCATAGCTGCCTTCCAAGCAGTTGACCCGGGTTCGATTCCCGGCCAACGCAAGAACTTTTTCTTTTCGTGGAACTTTTACTCTCTTATCATATAGTTCTCACAAGTAACATGCAAAGATAGAAAGTTAATGAGAAAGGGCAGCTTTATAAATATGGGCTATTCAACAAAAGCAATTTCTTTCTTTGTCAAACTGGAACAGACAGAATGTCAGCAGATATACACACGCTTAATGTCTAACCTTTCAGTCTCAAATCGGAACCATCAAATTGCAGTCACTAAAACAGACAGTTTTTAAATTGATTTCTCATAGGGCACCAGAACAGTGGTCTTCAACTGTGGACCCTTTGTGATTGTAAGTTGTGTGTTAGTGTTAAATGTATTATAAGTGTACCATGTAAAGCGACCTTGAGCTCTGGAAAGGCGCTATAAATGAAACTTCTTCTTCTTCTTTTGTACACCTAATTAGTCTATAAATATGTTCTTTGTTATTTGACAGTACCAGAGTTTACAGTATGTCATGAGACATCATGATTCATGAGGCCTCATTGAAAATGCTATTTAGCATTTTCAGGTCGCCTTGCTCTGTACTGTGACACATTTATCAAAATGAACAAATCTTTTTCCAAGTCAATTTGTTCGTTTCGTTTGTTGAATGAACAAAATGACTCGGAAAAAGATTCGTTCATTTTGGCGAACGAGTTCGAACAGGAGAGTCACGAACGTGCATTGCAGTATAGAGCAAGGTGAGCATTTGAGCTTATAAAACTTAAACTTTGTTATTTATTAATTAAATGAGCTATCGTTTCGCTTGATGAGACCCTTATTCATCGTCTGGATTCGTTTAAAGCCCTTTGAACAGTTTGCAGTTTGTACTGAAAGTGTCTTTTGGACCTTGAATCGTTTGGTTCCCACTGAAGTGCATTATATGGAGAAAAATGCTGGAATGTTTTCATCAAAAACCTTAATTTCTTTTCGACTGAAGAAAGAATGACATGGTCATCTTGGATGACATGGGGGTGAGTAAATTATCAGCAAAAGTTTTTTTCAAAAGTGAAATACTCCTTTAATGTTTGAAATGATAGAACAGTATGGATTAAGCACACTAGAAAGTTTTTCCACCCTGTACTAATGACATAATAAAGCAGCAACTCACCTAATGCATCAGAGTTGTAGCCTATTACATGCACAAAGCTGGACATTATGATTATGAATACTGGAAAGTTTTAAGCAATTTTAATTAATTTTATCATTTATTTAATGTAATGTAATTAAAATATATTTCATTGCATATTGCATATTTTTTATTAAAACTGTTGTCGCCATCTCTGTTCGAAGTCTGCAATTGCAATGATATGCAGAATTTTCAACTTTACGCAAGTTGTACCTCGGCACGGCACAGCGTGCTGATTATAGTGATCGATTATCATATGTCAAACCGTGCAAATTATACTTTGTTCTCAAACTGTTAATGTTAACGTCAGCACTGCATGCATTTTACATCGGGTGAATCTCCAGTTGTCACTTGGGATTGTCGTTTGAACCTGTCGTTTCTATTATTATAATCGATAAGTTTAATTATATCAAGTGCTGTGAGAAAAGACTATAAATCTCCACCTCCAACATCCTCACACTCATAGCCTACTAGCCGAGACTCTTCCTTTATGTGTAGGCTACATGTGATGTAATTACGCAAAGACATGCTCAAATTTCCTGTCATGTCTCATAATTATGCCCGAAAACACTGCTGTGGATGAAGAATGGAGAGGTCCGCAGAGGTTATGAAGAAGGGTCAACACTAGGGGTGTCACGATTCTCCAAATACTCGTTTCGATTACATTTTCAATTCTAAGGTCACGGTTCAATTCGATTCTCGATTTCGATCAGTCGGCCAATCAGGATGATCTCTGTCTTACATGCTCTCTTTTCATGCTGTCTTTAACTGATTTGCGTGAATATGAGCCGCTATCAATATGCAACATTTTGTAGTATGTAATTAAATTATTGTTTATTAAACTGTTGTAGTAACTTGATATCACATTTTAATCATGCTGATTTTGGAGGTTAAAAACTGAAATGGCACTCTTCATCTGATATTGATTAATTGATTAATTACTTACTTAATTAATTGATTAATTTATTAATTTTTTAACCCACATATCTTGAATTTTGTGATCATTCACATGCATTGCATTTTAGGGGTTCCAAATACGTAGCGCTTTAGAACCTTTTAAGGTTCTATATAGAACCTTTCCTTCTAAGAGTGTAAGTTAGCTTATGCTACAGGAAAGATTAATCTTTTGGAGATATTGAAGCCAAAAAATTATCCTTTATTTTTGTATTCATTGTCAACGCAGTGCAGCAGCTAGCAGACCTAGAGCAGGCTGTCTAGCATGCTCATTGGCTGCCCTGCGGCAACTGCAGCAGCCTACCACTGAGCCACGTCACGTCCAATGTAGGGCGCTCATCTTAGCCCGCCAGAATGGGCATGGCTTAGCATATATAAGCGGGACTCAGAGGCTGTCTCCCTGATATTCATCTCTTCAGCGAAGCTCTTCGCATCACTGGATTCCGAGAGAAGCCGCCGTCTGAGGAGCGAACAGCCAACTTAGGACAGTGCCTGAAGTAGCTGGTCGTCTTCGCCGCCTTCAGCCATCCGTGCGAGCTATCTGGCGACGTATCCTTTTTCTCTGAGCTCTATTCTGTGCATCTTCGCCGCTGCGACACCACCCTTCTAAAAGATTGCGGCTCGTGCAGAGCCCCGCTCAGCATTGCAGACTGCCATGTGATCTGCGTTCTCTACCTGGGCCCAGACCACGCAGCCCTCACTCTTCGTCGGGAGGCTGCGTCCTCCGTAAAGAACTCGAGGTGTTCAATGCCGAAGCTGTCACTCCGCCCTCTGCTGGACCACGTAAGAAGAAGCGCAGCACTCGACTCGCGTGTCTCCTCAACGCTCTCCCAAGTGGACGGCGCTGCCAAGAAGGGGAGGAGAAAGGCCCGGATCCAGCTGCCATGGATTTAAGGAGCGACGCTCATATAATCAGCCTTCCTGCGTGAAGCGCTACCCAGCTCAACCTCTGTCCTTGCAGCGTCAAGGCTGTGTCAGATCCAGGAACCTCTGCGATCTAACAGAACACCACCTCATTTGGTGTCCGCACCATCTGCGCTCGCTGAGAGATACGCATGTACCAGGCCCCCTGAAAGACGGCCCAGACAAGTTGTCCAGGGACAATATTCTCCCGGTGGAATGGTTCCTGCATCCTGCTGCAACAGTCGCTATGGCGCCTTTTTGGCAATGTGGAAGTTGACCTCTTTTCCGTCAAAAGACATTGCCCAATGTTCTTTTTGAAGAACGAGGATGCGCTGGCGCAAATCTGGCCCAGCCACCCACTGTATGCTTTCCCAACGGTCTCACTGTTGCCACAGGTAATCAAGAGACTTGGGGAAACGCACCCCTCGGTGCTCCTTATTACCCTACGATGGGAGAACCAAACTTGGTTCCCGGGGCTGACTCGGCTGTCTCAAACTGCCCCGTGGCCGATTTCGGTAAGGGCAGATCTCCTCTCCCAAGCTCGCGGCTTGATCTGGCATCCCCATCCAGAGCGCTGGTCTCTGCATGCATGGGTGATCAACGGATACCCATTGTCCTACCAGAAGGAGTGATGAACACGATTACGCAGTCTAGAGCTCCCTCTACTAGAAAGCTTTATGCGTCAAAATGGTATTTGTTCTCCAGATGGTGCACTGACAAAAATCTGGACCCATGAACGTCTGGGGTCTCGGGGTTGCTTAGTTTTCTTCAAGAGTTTTTGGAACCAACCGCATTGCCAGGAGTTCATGATGATGTATTGTTGTATCAATATTCTGAGCACAGTCGTATCTGCCAGCATCCGATAGCGAGAGCGATGTTATTCTCCTCTGCCCAGACAGGGCGCTAAGGGCTTACATTACGCGGTCCACCCCTTTCAGGCGCTAAGAGCAGCTTTTCGTTTCATGGGCGAACCAAAGGTCTCGCCGCCTCAAAACAAAGCCTGTCCAGATGGATAGTGGACGCTATCACGGCTGCTTATTCGTCAAAAGGTATGCAATGCCCTTTGGCCATTAGGGCTCATTCCACTAAAGGCATGGCCTCGTCGTGGGCATGGTCCAGGCCATGTGTGGTGGCGGGCTGGACCTCCCTGTCCACCTTTGCTCTCGCCCTGTAGGCTAAACTTCTGTCAATATAAGAAAGAGGTATGTATGTCCAGAACTGATCATGCACAGGCTACTCTCACGTGACTTAGCTCTTTTGATTGAGCTGCACTATATTGGGTTAATATGCTACAGTATATGCTTATAACGGCCGGCGACGCGGCGCTGTATTTCTGCTTATGTACATTTGCCGGCCCGCTTTGCTGGTCACCTTATTCCCCGCTTATCTGGGAACCCCCAGGATTCCCTGGGACTCAGGAAGTCGATGCTTGGTGCACACGGTGTTGACAAAGGGTTACCATAGCATAAGCTAACTTACGGAGTACGAGAGAACCTCTCGTAAGAGAACGCATCGATTACCTAACGTAACCTCGGTTCTCTCTAGAAGAGGGAACGAGTATTGTGTAACCTGCCGTTATCAC